AATTAGGAAAGATTTTGGCCTTGGTGGGATAGGAATCAGTGTCTGTTGTCTCACTAATTACATCAGCTTCACATGTAGACTGGAGTCTTGAGTTATTTCTGATGAAGCAATAAAGGGTCCCTGGCCTCAGGCACTATGGTATTGGCAGTGTATTGACTGTGAGGCAGGATTTAGTTTCTATGGGAAATCCCGTTGGTGAAGGAGAACGCACTGGAGCTGTGATGGTCACTGTATTTCACGCTGTAAGTCCTTCAGGACAGCTTTGGCATATCGAGTGCTTTAGCGTTCTGGTGACCAAACCCAGGGCTGTGCAGTTCCTGACCCCACGTGAGTGGGCATGTGGGGTCCCAGACTGCCCTGGCAGATGCGTTTGGAAAGTCAGCTGACTTTAGATGCTGGAAACCCAGGGAGGTACAGACCACTGACTAACTCGGGTAACAGAGACACTGAGCTGAGAAAACTCACTGCACGAGGGTTACCAGTGTTTCTGAGCACACCAGCCATATAACAACCTCTCCATTTGCCCAGACCCGAGCACCCACAGCACCCATCCCACCACCCAGAGGGCACACCTCTGACGCGGCTGCAGGACAGCAGTGGCAGCACTCGTAAGCAAATGCCACTCCAGTGCCAAGTTGCACCAGCCACCACTTTCCGCTGGTTTCACTGGAAACCAGAACCGTTGGCTCAGCCAGTGCCCAGCCGGGGTACCATTACCAGACACCCCTGCTCGTCGCTGCCCACTGCAGGACCACAGTGCTGGTACCAGCCCATGCAGCTCCTGGGCTGCAGGGTTCTCCAGAGCTACAGCTTGCCACCCTCACATGACGCACCCTACGCATTCTCTGCAAAACTAAAAGCGAAGAAAAAACATGTTAAGTTCCTAATGGCAGTGCCCAAAGGTACTATATCTGAAGATAACATCAACAGAGAGAGCCAGCGCAAGTTCTCTTCACACAACTATTTCCCAGAGGCTAATGGCAAGGGGGAGAGAGAGAAACAAGTACTGACAGTTTACTGTAGGAGCTCAAAGAAAAAGTGGACAAAGCTAAAAGAACTCCAGCTCTTTGTTCGCATTTAATCCAGTTCAGAGCATTCACTGGTGCATACAGATTTACTTTCCATGGCTGACGGAGCTGGATATGGTCATTTGGTAAGAAACAGAGGATCTAGGATTTAAATTTTGTGCCCTTTAGGCTCTTATATATTAGGAAAAGTTAGTCTATAACATATGTAAAGTTTTAATCTAATGTAGAAAGTGTGAGCTGCTGGCTAATACCTTCAAAGAAACAAATCCTGATCTTGAAAGATGAAGAACGCTTTCTGTTTTTAACACAGACCAAGTTTTTAAGGGGTAGAGCACTTCTTTTGGCTCACAGAAACCAAGGGAGAGACTGAGGACTCCTGTGTCTACCCAAAGAATCCCCTATTTTATTTTCTTCCTTCTCTTTTCAACTCTCGTCTTGAATTTATAAAGGCACTGATTTATCAGAGGCTACTAGAATAATGTAACGGTATTAAAATATCACCGTCCACATATTTTAATGCAAAACAAAGAGTCCAAGCACCTGATATCACAGTACAATAAAACTATCAAATCACCATTGCAGGCTTTTGCTTTTGCTGAGGGTAGACGGTTCAAATTACATGTAGCCTATTTTCTAAAGGCTACAGAGTCAATTCATCTCTGGCTGAATTTGCAAAACACCGCATTGAAAGACAGCACCAGTGAGGAGGATATAGATACAAGAACAGAACCAACAAAAGGGTTTGTGAGCGAAAGGTAGAGCGGCTGGGTTAGCAAAGGCAGAACTGGAAGGGAAAGTTCAATTGCAGAGTTCAGTGGACCCAAATTAGGCAGATGTGTTAGAGCGATTTTAGCACAGTGTATTGGAAACGCACCCCCAACAAGTGTGAAGAGAAAAGGGAGGGTTAGCCAGTAAATCTTAGGAAGTGCTATCTAAAAAAAAAAAAATGAGAACAATGAACATGGCACAGTTTTAAAAGATAAAACTCTCATCCCCCTGCCCCCTCCCGTCCCCCTCCAAGTCATCTAAGAAGGACCCCTAGTACTTGGGCTCAACTAGTGTTGCTCAAACTTCTCACGTTCAGACAAAACCAGACCTTTTTATCCTAACTGCTCGTGCCCAGCCTTAGCCGAGACCAGAAAAGCAGAAGCGCGTTCTGGTTGGCATCATGTCACCAGGAGCAGGAGACCAACACGTGACACGAGGCCGCCCGGTTGCTGAACTGCTCCCGCCGCTTGCTCAGCTCTTTGCAGTGGAACTACTCATTCTCTCAGAGATCGCTGGCTGTAAATGGGATGTTAATGAAATAAACCAAAAGGCAATTTAAGCTATTTAACTACACTTCAGGAAAAAAGCCCTACCTGGGTAGATGACACTAAGCCATGATGTATTTTGTATTAATGTTTCAAGTCAATTTGGCGGATCCTGATGGAAGGCGAGTTAGAAATATTTTGTTGCAAGTTTGAACATCGTACCAGGATATAAGGCCAGCCACTTGAACAAGAGCAGTGATTGAATTAGGGCTGAGAAATGTATCCCTGGCTAGTTTCAAATTAAAAAAAGAGAGCTTTTAAAAAGGTACAAATGAGACTAAAAGAATTTATGTTATTTTTCCGGTTTCTGTGCTATAACTCCTTTTCTGTCTCCTCATCTATCTTCTAAGTGTACTACCTTATGAATGAGTGAGCAATAAAAGAAGTATGCAGTGGCTGAGAGAGAAACTCAAGATAACAAGATAACGCAAAACATAAGCCAAAGCTTGAGCAGAACTTCAAGTTAAGATGTAGATCTGAATATAAAAGTTTCTCACATCTGAGTTTTAGGGCAGTCATTAGATAGTTTGCATGAAAAACTAATTCAAAAACAGTAGCACAAAATGTGCCCTAATATATGCAAAGTTCACATCTGTCAAAATCTTGGACCTATACTTTCTAGGGGTTTTAATCCAGTCTTCAGACCACACATGCTGACACTTCACTCTTAGACTAAAATAAAAATAAAGCTATTTTAATGCCTTTGAAGTCCCAATCTTCATTGAAAAGGGGTAGAGGAAGAACAATGAGTAAAGCAGCAGCTACAAACTATCCTAAGGTTAGGCAATAGCAATTACTGTGCCTAGGTGACACAGGAACAGCCTCAAGACCAAAAGGTATGAGAATAATAAGCTACGATGTGCAGTCTCTAAATTACTTGTTCTAAGGCTGCCAAGAACAGGACAGAGTTATGTTCGCCAGTGTTAGTGCACTACTTACGATCTGCTGGCTGCACAACTTAAGACGTGCTATTTCTCCTTGCCACCCCCAGTTTATGCTGAGATTTTAGACCTGAAGTCGCAGCACACATGTCTAGCCTTCAAGCTGGACTTGGCTCCTTCAGTGCAGGCTGCCATTTTCAGCAGCAGCCGGTGGAAAGGCAGATGGCATCTGCATGGTAAGTTTTCCAAACACCCGAAACTGAATTGGGGGGGTTATAGCAAAGGGTTAATTCAGATTTCCATATCACTGACCGACCTCCAGCCTTCTAGGCTGCCTAGGTTTGGGGCTGCACAGATCAGCTGGGGATTCTCAGGGGAAAAATTATGTGGCCACTCCCTGAACCCAGATAATGCCTCTGGTTGGGTTTTCCACTGCTGGTTATCTGCCAGGTCAGGCAGAATTTAATCATCAAAATTATTATGTTCTCTTTCAAGCAAAGACCAGTGTGAAAATAATTGCTGGAATTAGGTGTGTTTCCTAGCATTAATCCAAGGTAGCTGCTAAGCGAGGTCAGTTATAGGGCTCAGGACAGGCAGCGGGGACTAAGCTGGTCTCCAGTTTTATTTGGCAAAGACGGGGTTGGTAAACAAACAGCAAGAGGGAAAAGATACAAGGATACAGTTTCAAGGGATGTGAAGGTTGAAGGGAAGATGAAGCTGCTTATCTTCATAAGGAAAGTAGTGACAACTCAGGCATAAGCATGAGAGACCACTACAAGGAAGAGAACATGAGACAGGGTGGAGCAAGCCTTAATGTTTACATGTTTGAGACGCTTTTACAGTATCAAGGAGGTAGAAAATTTTGAGCAAGAATTGATGACAAAACATGAAACCAATTCCTCATCTTTACTGTTACCGTTCATGGTCTAAGACTGACCTAGTTTTCTTGCAAAGTAGCTGGGGCATTTTGTGTGCTTCATTATCCACGTGAGAGGAGACAAAACACTTCAAGCCCTCCAGAAAGTGCAAAGAACTTAAGACTATGGTATATCAAAATAATACTTAGATTTCCAAATTGGAGCATTAACTTGCAACATTTAAACCCGATGATGCCTGTATGAATAAATGATCATCTGCTCTACTGTGTTGATTGAGGTGAGACCAACAGGAGGATAAGCATTGGTAGAGTTTATCGGTTTGTTCACATCTTGTACCAGCTTATGTAATTTTTAGGTGCAAGAACTGAAATGCAGTTTATTTTTGAACCTCTGTTTACAAAAATCAAGTACCTATTGTTGAACTTTCAAAGCATCCTGCATGTGGCATTTCATGTAAAGGTGTGATTTTCTGCCAGTTCCTAATTGCACTGCCATATGCCAAAAATGGCAACAACGGACAAATCTGAAGCACCGTACGATCATATTGCAAATGAAAGTGAAGAAAAGTTGTGGTTAAGGAGGGTCCCATTTTGCCTCTGGTCCACAGGCTATGAAATTAGGCAAAGTTATCTTCCTTGCTTAACTCGAAGTGTAAATGGGGAATCAGCTTTGCAGGCAGGACTCAGTTGACGCTGGTGAGCGTTTGCTACCTGGGACAACAGAGTCACCAGGCAAGCAAAACCCACAGCTTTGGTGGGAACCTGGCCTGTGTCTGGTGGCAACTCATGCTGGAGAGCAAACCCATCCGTGACTGTCACTCAATATGCATCAAATAACCTTGTTATTTTGAAGAGGCTCTAGCTTGTATTAATGCGTCATTCTTTGTTCTTCCAAATACAGATTCTGGAAGAAAACATGAAGTTAGAGTGCAAGTGCCATGGGGTCTCAGGATCCTGTACCACTAAAACATGCTGGACAACCCTGCCTAAATTCCGGGAGCTGGGCTACATCCTTAAGGACAAATACAACGAAGCTGTTCAAGTCGAACCAGTGAGGGCAAGTCGTAACAAGCGTCCAACCTTCCTCAAAATAAAGAAGCCACTTTCCTATCGCAAACCCATGGATACAGATTTAGTGTACATAGAAAAATCTCCCAATTATTGTGAAGAAGACCCTGTCACTGGCAGTGTGGGAACGCAGGGAAGGATGTGCAACAAGACAGCCCAGCAGTCCAATGGCTGCGATCTGATGTGCTGTGGTCGAGGTTACAATACACACCAGTACTCAAGAGTGTGGCAGTGCAACTGCAAATTTCATTGGTGCTGCTATGTTAAATGCAACACATGCAGTGAAAGAACAGAAGTATATACCTGTAAGTGAGTACGTGGCTGGGCAGGCTGACCATGTCCCTGGCCACGAATACATTTGCACATGCACTCAACGTACCTACGCAAGACTGTAGGAAAGACCTGCTCTCCCAGAAGAAATGCTGATGAATGGAGCCCTCTCTTTTCTTCTCATGTTTCATTGCTTATGTCGATACACATTTCAGACTCTTACGAAAGTCAGCCAAGAAACAAAAACAAACAAACCCCACCCCGAGCCACCTGACACACAAAAGAGAGAAAAAGATCATCTCAGTTAATCTGCACCTCTAAAGCAAGAAGCATTGACTGCCTTGTGAAGAGACACCAGTCAGAGAAAAATCTCTGAGCGTGGCAATTAACTCTTCGTTTGGAAAAAAGACGGTCAAAAACTTCAGTCTATAAGGAGCAGGGAGGGGTAGGGGAGAAATCCTCAAAAAGGGGCTTTGCACAGGATGGGATGGACAGTGCCCCACCGTGAATTGCCCGTGCGAGTGTGTGGATGACACAGATTTAGGCTTCTACACTTGTGAAAAGCTTCTGCTGGTCTTGCCCATCTTACCACTTCATACCATTTGCTACAGCGAGTAGAACTGTTGAAGTTTTCTGTAGACACTGCTTTATCTGCCTATTTTGTGTGTGTGTGCGCTGCAGATTTTAGCACAGGGATTTGGGACACTTGGGCATAATAATAGCAATATTTAACAATTTATTCAGATAAAACTAATATTAATTTATTTAATTAAAAAGAACTCTACCAACATTTTTGGAACTATTCTGCAATTAAAGTAGATAGCTGGCTTTCTTTGTGGAATAATTTTGTAGAAACAGCAAGGAAAAACTGGAGCTGTATATATTATTCTTAACTAGGATATTTCCATTAGTTGGACTTGCAGGATATGTTCTACAGTACTAGATGTTTAAGTACAAAAGCTGGCATCTTTATATATATGTACATACACAAACACACACTGTTGGGTTTTTTTTGTTTTTGTTTTTCTTTTTGTTTTTTTTTTTCCTGTTTGCTGCTAGTTGTCTGGAACAAAAGTCAAGCGGTAGGGGTTACAAATCTTTACCAGTTGTTTTTTTTTTTCTTCAATTAAAGAAAGAAGCATTAATGAAATCCTGTTTGGAATATGCCTAAAAATAAGAAAATCCAGACAAATTTCCATCTTTTGGAAAAATCAACCATAGGATAAGAGAGTATATTTTGTAAGAGACTATTTTTATATAAATATTTTATTTATACTACGTCTGCTTGTTCAACCTGTACTTTTTCTCAAAACAGGCATACAATTTGTAATTCTTAGGCTATTTAACAGAGAAAGGGTAATTAGTTTGTGGACACAACAGCAGCAAGCTGGATAGATTCAGCTGCAATTGGTGGATGTGTCAGAAAGCAGGATGAACTTTCTCTCCGGATGTGTGTACAAACCGGCTCTTTTCCTGCAGCTCAATTTGCAGAATATGCAAAACAAGAACAGGGTATGTAGCATCAATTTTGTCACATGGCTTGAATTCATGATTGGTATTAACGGGATGCTCATTTATCCCATTCAAGAAAAAAAATCCGAATTAGCTTCCCACATGCGTCAGTCATTAAACTGTGGCATTATGACTAGCAAATGTGCTGTGTGTGCTGTCAGTTAAACCTCTATATTGTGTTACTGTCAAATTTGATTTTAATCAGTGGAAGACTGTAGACTATGACTGTAAAAACTAGCATGACACACATCGTCTGATTCTCATAGATAGGATACAAAGCTTACTTTTTGTCCAGCTTTTTTTGGCATTTACATTATTCTTTCCCCCCAAAAGGCCAGAGCTCAAAAATCCAGAAAAACATCGAGGCAAATTTAAAGACTACTCACTTGTTTTTCAGAGCCCAGCTAAGCCATTTTGTGCTCCCTTTACGGTATCTCCTTTTTATCACTGCTAATTTCTTCAGATATTTGAGTGGTAAATATTTCTCTGTTTTTAGAATCATTCTGTTTCTCCTGCTTGACTCATTTATGACCGATAAAAAAAATAATCTAATTTTAATGTTGTTTTTCATTGGGTAAGAAATGCGTCCCAGCGCTATCAATGGTATTGCATGTTCTGTCTGGGACAGACCAGATTCTTCCCTAGTTCCAGACTACAGGATCTCACGCCTTTCATGAGGCTAAGAGGGGCATCAGTAAAGGAAACAAACCACCATCCAGCATGCAGTGCATTTCACTGACTCCTGTTGATAACAGCAAGCTTTACAAGGAGTAGATAATACAGATATATCTTGTGTCCGTTGATCTTTCTGAGGCAAAACTCCCACCTAAGACTGCGAAAACAGAGAGAGTTTTCTGAGAAAGTAAACAGAAGTATCACAAAAGATGTTGCAAAGTTTCGCTATAACAACCTAACCTTTTAGAACTTGTCTGAACGTGGCATGGTGGGTTTTTTAAACTCATTTCTTGTATGTACGTTATCTATGTGAGAACACAAGCCCATGCAGTACCTGATCCTAGCAATGTATAATTAGGATTAAATATGCCGTTTCTTTGCAGACCTGCCACTTAACACAAAATATGCAATTCAGACACCAGCATGGGATATCAAAGTAAAATGATTAACATAATTTACTCTCAAACTTATGACTTGTCAATATAAAGCAATATAAAAGCAATTTTTTGGAGTAATTGAGTCACTGCTTTTAGTTCTTGAAATTCTACACATCAGGAATTGGTAAGATGTGAAATGTAATGAAGTACATACAGTATGGCCGTTAATTACAAGACTCTACTATGGTTAAATAATTCAGGTCTAACATTTAATTCTGGAATCGCCTCCCCCCCCCCCCCCCTTTTTTTTTTTTATTGGTTTTTTACTTAATGGATATCATATCATAGTCAAAAGTGTGTTTTCTTCACTGATTAGTTATTTTACAAATTATTACTTTTGCAGCATGTTTTTACCATAGAAAAGTAATCTGTAAAACTCCTGCTTCCTGTATATTTCAGTATGCAGTGATGTGCAATGTACAGCTAGCAGATTAATTATTGAAGGAGAAATATCTTTAAACAGTTTTACTCACAATAATAAAGAACTGGATGCGCAATGAAATGAATTTGGTACACATTTTCCCTATATTTTACAATATTGCTGGTGATCAGTGCATTAATTGGAGAAAATGTTGATTTGTTTGGTAACTGGAATATCGGTTTGGGAACTATGAATTAAAGAGCAAGGAAAACCAGACACTGCATTCAACTAGAAAGTATTTGGAAATTTGGCTGTGTCATCTTAGATAGGAGAAACCTGGCCCGTCAGAATCTGCCATGAGTCTGGAGTTAATTGGTCATTCTCTAAATGGGCTTGAATGGCATGAAGAATAAACAGGAGAAGGAGAAAGATTTACGATTTTGTAGATATTCCTCCCCTCGACAACAGTTTGTTCTTTGTCCTCAGGGATAGAAGAGCTCTGTTTTTACTTGGTGAAGAACCACACAATGGGAGTGAAATGCACACAGATGCAGAACAATACAGCTCTCAAAAGAAAATACATCTTTTCATGTCTACTAACCAAGGGAAGCGCTGGATTGCTGTCCACATTAATAACCTAGCTGAGGCTCTTAAAAAAAACATACATTCAAGAAGCAGGAAGAGTAAGAGGAGTAGGAAGTGTAAGAGAACAAGCACAATTGCAAGTTGGGAAGGTATTATTTATGAAATCTCACTTCCTCATTTGATAGCGGAACCGTGATTCATGGAAATGAAGCAGTTCTGCCTTGGGATTCCTAAGCAAGTTTTAAGGATTTTACCTCTCGGCCTTTTCAAAAGGACAACTAACCTGAGTACAATTAGCTTGAATACTCGAAGTACCTGCATAAAACATGAATCAGTCAATGATTAACTTTTCTTTGCCATGTATGCACAAACCTAATGGAGATATGTCTTTCAACAGTGATAATTAAACTGAAAACATCCTTAAAACGTACTCTTAAGTGGTTCATTTGGTAAAGTTATTGTAAGGGTACACAGTTACTTAGAAGCAGAAAGTAATGGACACGTACCATATTACACAAGGCTCTTAATGAACTATCCTGTGGATTACAAAACTGTTTTTAACTGACCACACTTACAAACCAATTTGTTGAATACAGAAACATCGCAGACTGCAGTCAGGGTGCACATATTCAAATGAAGATTCAGCATAAGTATTTCTGACAACGTTTTTACATTTATCATTATAATAGATATCAGGAAATATGCACTGTGAACGTCCCAAATGAGTGTATTAACTAACACAGCTCCCTGCCCCAAACTTGTAACCCCAAGAAGTCAACTGAACAAGAAGCTCTCCAACTCTGCTGTTGGTGGAAGGACTAAACTGCAGACGCAGTGACTGACATGCCTAGACAGGGCTGGCCAAATCTGACTGATACTGCTGCTGTCAACCGGCAGGGGTACAGCCCGGGTCAGGCTTGAATGTTCCAAAACTGTCCACAATTGAACCAAGTACAGGAATTTTATCACACAGCAGAACTTCAGATGACGAAGCTCATCTAGATTCCAAAACATTCTCCCTTAATTCATGGTTATCTCAGATAGTTGTCACCATGGCAAGTGACCTAATTTGCTAACCCAATTCATGTTCTTCTGGTCAAAAGCATACCAATAATTCCTCAAAGGTGGGCATTTTAATCCTGAACAAAAATTAAGGGAATCTTTCCTCTGGAAACAAACAATTAATAACATATGATTAAGTCAAAATGATGAAAAGATGTACTTGGATGTAAAGGACTCCAGGTGTTTGAAGAAGGATACCAGAACTTTGTGATTCTTTTGTCCAGAGGTGATGCTCTAAAACCCTAAAGGCTTCTTTTGATGCTTTGGAGTTGTATGAAATTACTGATTTTTCTGTTTTGTTGTTATTACATATTCATAGATTCATCAGTAGCACATACCATGTAATTTGCAATTGAGAGGTCAGAAACAAGTCCCAGAGAAATCTCACTTCTAAGTGTCGCACAATATATTTACTACTGGTGCTCTCAGGTTCATATAATTCCTTACCTTGGTCTTGTATTTTTGTTAGCAAATTCACTGCATCACATTCTTGTTAGGAAAGATGCCTACTTTGTAAAGAGGTTTGATATCTCTG